TCTGAGGCTAGAATGGAGAGGAGCAAGCGGGGAGCCTCAGGCCTGGTGGTGACGCTGGCACCAGGCTGTGCCTTCCCCACGTATGTTCTCGGCCGTCGTCAGTCTCGTCCGGTGTTCATTAGCAACAAATTCTCTAAGCTCAAAGGAACTGAGTATGTCGTCACTCAGGGGAGTGACTTGGGAGCCAGGGCAGGATTTGCGGGGGGGGGGACCCCTCAGGAACACAGGGGGTGACGGAATTGCTGACCAGAAGAGGAGGTGGTCTGAGGCCTTATGAGAAAAGGGAGGAAGACGCCACGGATGCTGCCTGGAGAGACATGGCCCGAGGGGCAGGTGTTATGTGGCATCTGTCTCACCTTGTCCCACAGAGACTGCAGCTCTTCCTGCCCTCCTAAGTCCCAGAACATGAGGCGAGCCTTCCCCACGTCCACAGTGCCGACTGGGGAGAAGAAAAGGGGTGAGGCTGTGGCCCAGCCCTCCCGGGAGCAGGCCGGCGGCAGCGCAGACCGCACACAGGGCTCTGGCTGTCTGCCTGCAGGCCTACGGACATCACAGCGTCCTCAGGGGTCTGCCCCCAAACCACAGCCCTCAGGGACCCTCTTACTATTTAGTCCCACGGTGGTGGTGATTTTGGAGAGACTCATGCCCCTGTAGTCCTTGTTAAACCGGGTTTTTGACTGCTCCAAGAAGGTCTGAGGAGAGAGCAAGAGGCGACATAGGGGCTGGTGTGGTTTCCAAGCTTCCCGAACGCCACTCCTTGGGCCTATTTTTTTTTTTTTTAAGCTGAGCCATCCCGCCACCTGTTGGCAGCTCACGGCTGCTCAGCTCCGGCTGGGACTCAAACCAGTGTTGCTCAGAGCTCAAACTCTTGAGCAAGCTCTTAACCAACTGAGCCACTCAGCCGGCCCTTTGGGCCTATTTCTTTAAAACAGAACAGAACGTTTTGCTTTTAAAGCACTTGGTGGTGACTGTCCCAAGGCCCACCGGGTTTGGATTCTGTCAAGGCAGTGAACAGGCAGCTGAAAGTATAAAACCAAAGAAGCAAAGCCCACGGGCCGTTGGGAGCCTACGGGGTCGAAGGGAGCCCACGGGTCGGCGGGAGCCAGCGCCTACCGTCTTCCCAGCATTGTCCAGGCCCAGGATCAGGATGCAGTACTCGTCCTTCTGGAACACGTACTTGTACAGCCCCGACAGCAGCGTGTACATCCTGCCCTGGACACCGCCAGAGGTCAGTCAGGAGGCGAGCTGACCGNAGACGTGAGGGGCTGAGGGGGGTAGCAGGCAATGGTGGCCCTGCAGCTTCTCTGCCCAGGAGGGGTCGTGCCAGCGAGTGGCCTCAGGGTGGACGGACCAGAGTGATCCACAATGCACCCGGACCCTTAGAAGGCCTGGCAGCCAAAACAAATGCGTTCCAAACAGGCCACCGTCCTGCAGAGCCCCCTCCGTGGGGACAATCACTGAGCAGCTGAGACTGGGCCTGGGGCCATGGCTGATGGGTGGTCCCAGGAGCACAGTGCCCCTCTCCAGACAGCCCCTCGGTTCTGGGGATGGCAGCTGACAGGGCAGGGGTCCCTCGGTCTTCTCTCTCCAGAGCTTCCCCCTGGGTGTCTGCCACACACAGCTATGTGGCTGCCCCCAATGGAGAGAGGGCAGGGGAGGGCTGTGTACCCCCACCCATATGGCTTGGGGTATCCAAGATGGGCCTTCCCCTGGAACAGGCACCCGGCCCCTGGCAGTGCGGGCAGGCTCACCTCAACATCCTGCTTGTTGGCCAGTACCAGAATGGGGACGCCGTCCAGGGCCTCACTTGTGACCATCTTCTCTGGTACGGGCAGAGAGGCGGTAGTGAGCACCCTTTGTCCATGCAACTGCCCAGCCCAGGGGCCTCACATTCCTGCCAACCTCTCCACAGGTGTGGACACTGCCCCTCGTGGCCAGGGTCCTTCTGACCTAGCGTGGGCCCAACTCGACATGCGGGACATGCCCTGGCCTTTGCATTCCCCAGCCCCAGTAGGCTATGCTCACCGAAAGCTTGCTTGGACTCCGACAGTCTGTCCTCGTCCGTAGAGTCGATGACATAGATGACACCATGGCACTCGGCATAGTACTGGGGAGGGGCAAGAAAGGGGCTGCATCCTGGGCATTCAGTCACCCAAGGGCAGTCCCCCAACTCTAAGGCCCTTGTGGAGTGCTTTCTGGGGGTGGAGTGGAGATGTGACCCGACCTTTCAGGAAGGGCTTCCTGGCTGCTGCATCTGACCTACTTCAGCGTTTGCTCCTGCAAACCGCCCATGGACCACCAGCCTGATGGTGGCCCAAGGGGAAAGGTGGGACTTGGGGGCTGAAGAGCCCTGACCAAGCTGGTCCCCATGCAGACCTGGTAATGAAGACTGTGTGCCAGTGGGGCCTCATGCCAAGGCTGACAGCAGGCCGCAGAAAGGCTGCCAAGGGGCTTAGGCCACTGCCACATTCCGAGCAGCTATCCCCTGAACAGGACAGCAGGACCAAGGACCACAGCAGCTCACTGGACTCAGAGATCTGTGGTCTAACTTGGTGCCAGGAGCAGTTTCACAGGAGGCCCCACATCCGTCCCTGCAGGAGCCTGGGGTCTAAGGCACAGAAGGGGCTCTCAGGCGCAACCACAGATCTGATGAGCCCACTCTTCCCTCAGAGCACTGCCAACATCTGCACTCAGTGGGGCAGACAGCAGGATCTCTGCCACTTTGCCCCAGCTATCCTGCCCGTCACAGCAGGATGTCCTGCCGGCTGGGCAGGGTGAGCCAGTGGTCAGCGAGCTGAAGGCTGCTCTGGCACATTCTTGGGTGTGATCCCCACGAGTCTAATACATGCCTCTGTATCTGCACTTGCTAGAAGGTGGCCCTGTGTTTTGCAGGCTGCAAGTCCCGCACACAGGGACTTCTGTGGCCTCACACCGGGTGACATGAGGCCTGCAGCTGCTCTATGGGAACTCCAGGCGGCAGGCATGCCTTCTGACTGCACCCGAGAACTGGCAGGTCATGCAGTGGAGGTCTGTGCAGAAAGGGCCACTGTGGGGTTTGCAGCCCAGTGGGAATCACCACAGCCTCTCGGGTGGCAGAGGACTTCACTCCCCATGTGACTGGGCCCTGGTGACGAACCCCATGACAGGAACAGCATATCTGGGCTGAGCATGTGCAGGACAGGGGGCACAGCAGGCTGCCCCAGCCCCATGGTACCAACCACGTCCCAGACCCCAATGGCTGCATCTGCCATGGCCAAGTCGGAGGATCCTACAGAGCTAGTGGGAAGAGGGAAGAGCCCAAGCTTGGCTTCTAGGTGGGCACATGCCCGAGATCTCTTGGGTGTGGCCTGAAGTCCTCGTGTGGCAGAACACCAGGAGGCTGCACTCATGTGGGAAGACATGGCCCGAGAGTGGGAACTGGGGAGGGACCAGGAGCCCCACTTCTCATGTCCCAGTGACACACAGGGGATTCTACCACCCATCCCCACAGATGGGCTGTGGTCCCCACCAGGGCACGTGCTCACCAGGAACAGAGCAGGAGACCCGCCGAGTCCGTCGTGCCTGCCTCCTGGGAGTGTTGGCAGAGGCCCGCCCCCCCATCAGGGGTAACTGACCTCATCGGCAGCAGGGCTGGGGAGCCCCTCAGGAAGCCAGGGGTCCACCCAAGGAGAGCTCAGCCATCAGGGGCTCTCACCACCTAACACTGGTCGCTAAGAGGGAACCAGTTTGCCCCTTCCCTCCCCCTCTTCGTTTCCCCTTAGGAGGCCCTGGGTCTTGGAGGAGCCACTCCCCAAAGCAGAGGCACGAATATTAGTGGTACAGTGGGCTGTGGCCCACGCAGGAAGCGGTCATGCACTGGGCCTTACTGCCCAGCGGTGGGCAGTGTGCCAAGTGGACAGCCCCTTGTTGGCTCCTGTAGGACCCACAAAGAGCCACGTTACCAGGTCAAAGCCGCCCAGGGCTGCCCACCATGGTGACCTGGCCAGCTCGGCCCGACGTGAAGCAATTCGCCTCCAGTGGTCCCCACTGGGCCAGTCACCCGAGCTGACCTCTTCCCCCTGCCCACTCCCTTCCAGGAGCTGATTCCTAACACAGA